GACAGACAGACAGACAGACAGACAGACAGACAGACAGACAGACAGACAGACAGACGGACAGACAGACAGTGTGACAGACAGACAGACAGAGAGAAGTGTGAACGATACCAGGTTGCATGACGACATCAAGCAAGCGTAATCAGTCATAGGGCACTGCACGACAAGCTGTGAGCCTTGGGTGATAGGTTTGGGACAAGTTGTTTTTGAAAGCCACACTAAAGTCATCATCATCATCAATGCCTTTCACCCCTGGCAGGGTATAGGCCACATACAAGATCCTTCCATTTATCTCTGTCCTGGCAATCCTTCCGAGCTCGTTCCAAGTGAGCTTCATCTCTCCCATGTCCCTTTCCACGCATCTCCTCCATGTTTCCCGTGGCCTACCCCTGCCTCGTGCTCCCTGTGGGTTCCACTGCAGTGACTGTCGTGTGATGTTTCCGCTGGGCTTTCTTAAAGTGTGTCCCATCCATCGCCACTTCCGTAGTCCTATTTCTACTTCTATATCCTTTAGTTCTGTCCTTTCCCACAGCTCTTCATTTCTAATTCTATCCTGCCTGCTTGGTTCTAAGAATACTCCTCATGCATCTATTGATGAAAGTCTGGACTTAATTCAGTACTGTATTTGTTGCCTTCCCAGTTTCGCAGCCGTAGAGAAGCACAGACACTTAAGTACACTTAAGATAATTATCTAGATCACACCGTCATCTCTTTGTGCCAAGGTGCAACCTTTCAACTCATGATTTTTCCGCCTATAGTCGACATAGATTTTGCGAGGTTATTGAGGACGAAGGTAAACCCCGGTTAATTAAAGTGGACATAAATCGTTCAGTATACCAACTCATAATAAGCCTTATTTGACTTTGTTTCCACTGGGAAAAAAACAACGATTTGTTCTGCTGATTTTTTTTTCCATTCGCTCGTTATTTTCCCAGCCGTTGCGATTAAATCTAACAACTGGGTCAATAATTACGTATCACCGTTTTCCTCATGTTTTCAGTCACAGCGCACCTAATTACCCCCGTGTGAATTGTCTGCTTATTAAAGAAACGGGGAAAGTTAATGTCGTTACACCCCGCCTCCTCATCCCAACCCCACTCGCATAATTTTCAGATTTGCGTGATTCTCTCTCTCTCTCTCTCTCTCTCTCTCTCTCTCT